CACTTCAGCATCATAAATTGCATCTACCACAATTTCTATAATTTTAGTTTGAAATTATTTATTATTTTTTTACTGCTTTTTTGTAAGAAAGATTAGTATTATTAGAATTCCAAAAAAAAAATCAAGTACTTTTCAAGTAACCTATGGCAGAATTCAAGGACTTTTCAGGGCCCTGATTTTTTCCACCAAAATTCAACGATTTTCAAGTACTGTGGGAATCCTGATAAAGCAGAGTAGTTTGAAGCTGCGGACATTTTCCCAAAGTAAAAAGGAATCCGCTAACCTTATAAGTGAATGACAAGGGGGGGGGGGGATCAATGGTTTCGCCATGTGGTAAAATAAATTTTAGGATGGTGTTTCATTAGCTAAAAATTTTTTTTAAAATAAGCATAAAATCTTTTTAAAAAAAAAATTTTTTTTATTAAAAAAAATTAGTAATTTGAGAAAATATTAAAGGTTGCCATTTACCCCCTAAACCCCTCTCTTACCTATGTCCTTGCTATCAATGCTTACTCATACGTCATATCTTTCTTAATATTCGAGATTTTTGTGTTGATTCCTTTAGACCTAACAACAATTTTTTATTTTATTTTAAAGAGAATGATATTATGACACATATCTACCGTAGTTCTGCTCTTAGATTCTCAAATTATGGGTTTTTATTTTTCAATCAAATTGTTTGAAAAATAATTACTCAGCAAATGGAAATAAGTCAGAAGAAAGTTTCTAGCCCAAGTTTGGTAAATCTAAAACGATCACTAACACAGCATAGCATAAAGTAGCTGTTGTAACATATATTGAAAGTAAAAGTTCTCCACTAGATGGCACAAATATCTAAACTGATTTAAAGTACGACGTTCATTCAACTGTGTGCTAGTTTATTCAACCACACAAATTCAACTTTTCATAATGTTGTGCAATCACATGTGACATAAAATACAATATTAAATTACACAATAATGAACAAACAACTAGAATGCTACTATTTTGTGAAGAAAAAAAATTATTACGCAGTCAACAAAAATTAGGTTTTTCAGTATTAGGAACATGAATGTTAAAAATGTTGAACATATTTATTTTTACATAAAGTACAAGAATAATTCACTCCACAGAAACATGGTTATAATATAATCACAACATTACTTTGCTTTAAAATATTTTTGAAGATAAGAAAAAAATACATTCTAAGGGAAGAGGAGAATTTTTTGAAATATTTTTTCAAATTAATTTCTTTAACCATTATGTTACAATGCTAAGTCTAATATTTAATAAAGTGCATTTTCTTTTAACCATATACAGAATAATACAATATACAGAATAATACAATATACAGAATAACATATACCATATGCAGAATACTTGAATACAATATTTTGAGCAAGACATTTGAATTTCACTGAACCATTACAAGAAAAGAACGACAGTAAATAAATATCTAACCCACACACTAGCACATACATAAACATATCATAACAAGAAAATTTTTTCATGAATATCCTTGAACTGGAAAATTACAAATGACACATTAAAACTATTTGCATATTTCATTATTTAACATAATAAATTAGCAAAATATAGTTTTTAGAAATAAAAAAAACCCACTTAAAAATTTACTAATTTTGATATTTTAGTAGTTTGAGTCACCTTTTGTGTTCTTTTTCAAAAGTTCGATAAATTATACAATCTAAGACATTAAAATGAGATTAACAAAATTTAAATCAAGTAATCATTTAAAAAATTATCATAATATACACTATAGTAATATTTTGGTAACATAATTAAATATAAGATTTATAAAATGATGAAAGATTGGAAAAAGTTAAGATTTAAATACAAGAAATTGATTTTATAAAGCAATTTATACTACTATATGTTTCACGCTTGCAATTAAACAAAACTTACTTCTCTCTAATGATAACATAAAATATTTTGTAGCTAAAAGTAAAAACATTTGTAATTGTACAGCACATGCTAAAAAAAAAATATCATTAAATAAAAGATGTAACTTGTAATTTTAATTAAAAGCTGCTATTGAAGTTTCTTTTTAAATAAAAAATATTAACTACAACTCAGGATTCTAATGCTGAGAGAATAAAAAGCACTTTATATTTTGGTTAAACATAACTGGTTGTAAATAAAGTAATGTTTTCCAGTAACCAAGGTTACAACTTCTACTAAGATGTGATTATAAGAATGTATTTTAATCCACAACTTTTCAATACTGGAGCTTATTTTACAGGCATTAGATAGATATATTCATAGCAGTTTTCATTGTATTTTTCCATTAGATAAAAATGGAAAAATACAATGAAAACTGCATGTAAAATATTCTGAAAAGAAGAAACTTTTTAGTTTCAGCTTCATTGAATCGTGTTAAGTCTAGTGACACTTCTGAGACATTTTTACTTATAATGGAATCAGGAAGGGAGCTTATCCTCATTGGGAAATGGTCTGTGTTTAGTCAGTCTATTTTTACTTTTGCTGCAAAAATAAACACACCAGTATGAATCAGAATGCGATTAGAAAAATTCTTTTGACATGTGCAAGAAGAATTAGGTTTCTCAGTAGGGTCAACAAAAATATGATTGGTTCTTGTTGAGAAACACTTATTGTAGATTCTACAAGAATATGGTTTCTCAACCAGTATGAACAAGAGTTTAAATATTTATTTAAAAAATTTTTAAAAAAAAAATATTTTATCATAAATTTCAAAGATATGTTGTGTCACTAGTAGGACAACACTGCATTTAGTCAAATGACAGAAACTCTTATTATATTAAGGAACAAAAAAAAAAGTTTTTCACTAGTGCTAACACAAACATCAAAGTCAGTCTTTTTTATGAAAAACTCTTACACATATACGAGGGTTGCTATTTATATTTCTGGCCTTGGCAACAGTAAGTGTTGCTAGGCGACCGCAGACGATTTTAATCGAAAGTTTGATATTTTTAAACATAAATTCAGCAGACGATTTACCATTATAGCTTCATTTGTGTTGTTGACAGTAAATTGAAAAGTTCTTCTCTTTCAAAAAATGGAATTGAATCGTGAACATTTTCGTGCCATTATTTTTCATAACTTTCGACGTGGATTGTCAAGACAAGAGTGCTTCGATGAACTTAATTCTTTATTCAGCGATAAAGCGCCATCCTACAGCACTGTAAAAAATTGGTATAACAAATTTAATCGTGGTCGATCCAGGACGAATCCCGTGCAGGTCGTCCAAAATCCGTTGTTGTGCCAGAAAAGATCGATGCTGTGCGTGAACTGATAAAGCAAGATCGTCATGTGACATACCGTGAGATAGAGGCCTCTTTGGACATTAGTATGACTAGCATCAATAAAATATTGCATGAACATTTGAGCGCAAAAAAAAATTTTCGCGCTGGATCCCGCATAATCTGACAAACGCTAAAAAAAAAAAAGGCTCGTGTCGATTGGTGCAAGGAAATGTTGGAAAAATATGTTCAAGGTACATCAAAGGCTGTGTATAACATCTACACAGGTGACGAATCATGGATCTATGCATATGTGCAAACAACAACAAAGCAGCAATCAACTGTATGGGTCTTCCAAGACGAGGCAAAACCAACAAAAGTTGTTCGAGGAATTGCCTGTTTCTTCGGCATTAACGGTCATGTGGCAACAGTGGCGTTAGAGCAATGCAGGGCGGTCAATTCTGAATGGTACACGACCATTTGTTTGCCAGAAGTCATCGGAGAAATTCGAAAAAAAGCAGAAGAACAGGCGAATCATACTTCATCATGACAATGCGAGCTCTCACACATCGACTCAAATAAAGGCATTTCTGACGGAGCGAAAGATCAAACTGATGGGTCATCCACCGTACAGCCCTGATTTGGCACCCAATGACTTCTTCTTATTCCCACACATCAAAAATAAATTACGTAAAAACGATTTTCGACCCCCGAAGAAGCAGTTGATGCATTCAAAACGCATGTTTTGGAGTTACCTCAATCGGACTGGAAAAAGTGCTTTGAAAATTGGTTTAAACGCATGCAAAAGTGTATTGATCATTATGGAGAATATTTTGAAAAACAATCAAACCAATTTCCATCCTACATATTTGTTTTTTCATTATTAGGCCAGAAATATAAATAGCAACCCTCGTATTATAACAGAGCTCATTCTAGGCAGGGTAAACAGGGTGCAGCACCCTGCTGCCCTTTTAGTCAAAAGAATCCACCCTGTTGCCCCTGCAGTAAATTAGTGCCCTGATGTAATACACTCCATACCCCTTTATTTCCTCAACCCTTCCTTACCCCCCCAAACTCTACAATGGATTTCTTAAACTTTTGTTATTTTCAACTCTTTTCATTTAGTTTGTTGTTGCTGTCAATACATAGATTTATATGGGAAAGGAAAAATAGCCATCACACACCCTTGTTGCACTTGTCTTCGAAAATTTGCAGTTACTTCCACTATCATTAAATCAAAACTACAGACACTTGAAAACATACATTTATTATTTCATTAATATATTCATGCATTTTAGATAAATTGCTAAGCTAATTAGCTCATTAACTCGATATATATGTTAATTTATTAATAAAAATTAGTAATTAATATGATTGCTTTGCTACTTTTAGTAAAGTAAGAAATTTTTTTTTATTTTACTGCTGTTGCTGTTGTTAATTTACGTCGCACTAGAGCTGCACAATGGGCTATTGGCGACCGCCTGGGAAACATCCCGGAGGATGATCCGAAGACATGCCATCACAATTTTGATCCTCTGTGGAGGGGATGGCACCCCCGCTTCGGTAGCCCGACGACATGCGCGCGAAGTCGAGCACTTTACGGTAGCACAGTTTAACGAGGACCAATACCACACACCCTCGGTCCCTACGCAGACTGATCCAAGTGGTCACCCACCCGCACACTGACCGTAGTCAGGACCCATAGGAAGAAATTATTGCCTTTTTAGAATAATTTTGTCCCTTTTTTAAACTTTTGCACCCTGCCCTTTTTTCTGCCTAGAATGAGCTCTGATTATAAGAATGAGGTCTTTAACAAGTATAAATAAAATTATGAAAAATTGGACGAAACCTGACCAAAGCAAAAACAAAAACTATTTTTACGCACATAAAAAAATAACTTCTTAACAGTGTGAACATGAATGTGATGAGTTAGATAATCCTTCCTTGAAAAAGACTGATTACATGAAAAAGGTCTCTCTCCAATATGAACAAAAATGTGCTTATTTAGAAGAACTATTAGTGAAAAACTCTTATAACATATACTACAAGAATAGGGTTTATTTCCCAGTATGAACATGAATATGTTTAGTCAAATAAGATCTAGTTGAAAATCTCTTATTACACATACTACAAGAATAAGGCTTCTCACGTGTATGAACACGACTATGTACAGTCAGTTGACCACTTTGCGTAAATCTCTTATTACATACACTACAAGAATAAGGCTTCTCACGTGTATGAACACGACTATGTACAGTCAGTTGACCACTTTGTGTAAATCTCTTATTACATACACTACAAGAATAAGGTTTCTCACCAGTATGAACACGACTATGTCGAACCAAATTATTTCTAACTGAAAATCTCTTATTACATTTACTACAAGAATAAGGCTTCTTACCAGTATGAACACGACTATGTCGAGTCAAACTATTTCTTTGTGAAAATCTCTTATTACATTGACTACAAGAATAAGGCTTCTCACCAGTATGAATACGAATATGTTTAGTCAAATAAAATCTAGTTGAAAATCTATTATAACATATACAACAAGAATAAGGCTTCTCACCTGTATGAAGACGACTGTGTTCAGTCAGTTGACCTCTTCCTGTAAAACTTTTATTACATACACTGCATGAATAAGGTTTCTCACCAGTATGAACACGCCTATGTCGAGTCAAATTATTTCTATCTGAAAATCTCTTACTACATTTACTACAAGAATAAGGTTTCTCACCAGTATGAACACAACTATGTTGAGTCAAATGATTTCTAACTGAAAATCTCTTATTACAAACACTACAGGAATAAGGCTTCTCACCAGTATGAACAAGACTATGTCGAGCCAAATTATTTCTAACTGAAAATCTCTTACTACATTTACTACAAGAATATGGTTTCTCACCAGTATGAACACGACTATGTTGAGTCAGTATATCTCTTCGTGAAAAACTCTTATTACATATACTACAAGAATAAGGTTTCTCGCCAGTATGAACTCGACTATGTTGAGTCAAATGATTTCCAACTGAGAACCTCTTATTACAGACACTACAAGAATAAGGCTTCTCACCAGTATGAACACGACTATGTTGAGTCATATTATTTCTAACTGAAAATATCTTACTACATTTACTACAAGAGTAAGGTTTCTCACCAGAATGAGCCAGAATCACCAGTCAGTAAATTTTTTCGTGAGAAACTCTTATTACACATACCACAAAAATAAGGCTTCTCACCCATACGAACACGATTGTGTTTAGTCTGAAGATCTTTTTGTGAAAAACTATTATATATATTACAAAAATAGGATTTATCCCTAGTATTAGCTTTGCAGTGTTTAGTGAGGCTTATTCTTTTTGAAAAAATCTAGTTACATATATTTCAAGAAGGTTATCTTACAGGATGAAAAACACTTTCACAGTATATGTTTACTTTTCTGAGAAAAACTTTATTTGCTCATACTGCACAAATAAGGTTTCTTAACAATGTTAAGAAAAATGTGAATAATTTTAAGAAAAATTCTAATTACATGAAATGCAAGAAATAAGATTCTTGATTATATGACCTGTTTTAAGAATGGGTCTCTTTTTGCAAGCTTTAAAAATTAAATCATTACACTACCAGAATACTAAGCAAAATATTGTTGTAAGACACTTTTGCGTGTGTTACTAGAGCAAGAATAATAAGGGTAGATAAATTGTGCGTAGTTGAGTAAGATCTCTAATATAACAATCCTAAATATGCAAAAAATGAAGACATAAATCCACTTTGTAATGATATTAAAATAGAAATGCTTAAATATAAGAAATAATATAGATTTTTTACTCAAAATAAAAAAATTTCATCTTTATTTGAAACAGATAGCTGTAATTAGATAACGGAAAAATAATAAGCCATTAATTAAAATGAAGGCAATAAATCAAAATAATTTTCACAACAAAAGCAACTCATTTAAATAGCACAAAGAGGCTGTCAATAGCACATATTACAAAAATGATCATGTTGTATCAAATCACTTACTTCAATAATTTTTTTTTAAATAAGCAAAATAAAATACTGTAGATGTAATGTAACTACAACTGTTTAATAATGCACTGCATGGAAAAGTGTGTCTAAAGTGTTAGTTAGATTAAACGAAATTCCATTCTTCGTTATTTATTTATCGCGACTGCCTAAATAATTTATCAATTTATAATGAACACAAAACATTTGAATGAAATTACTTCTTATTTAAAATAATTATTAACTACACTTGGACACTTTTAAGCAAAGTGCTAACATTAAATTTCAATGAGAATATTTTTCTCTTAGAATATCATTGCAACTATGTGTCACATTTTGCCCAGATATTTTTTATTTGTTAGTGTCACAACAAAAAATATTACTGCCAACACAGAAGATATTGCCTTCAATAATAATATCTCCTTCGGTCAGAATGCATTTAACACACACTGCATAAATTGCTTTTTTAATTACGTGTATCGAACAGAAAACACATTTTCTTTTTAATATTTAGGCACGCACAGCATGAGTTTTATTTACTGTCAAATCGAACGAAATATTATTTTATCATTCCTTCGATTTTTGTTTTTAGTAGAAAGAAGATAATATTATATGAATACGATCTGCATCAAAATAACCCTTTTAAAGAACTTTCTATAGATTTTCAACTACTATGAGTGCAATTCACTTTACATTAAGAAGGGTTTTGGATACGCAGTCTTATAAATTTGAGAATAAGAGTTCTAAATCCAAATTGAACATCAAGTGAAATATAAATCGAAAACAATATCATTAAACTTTTCTTTACACATATTAAGTTGCAAAAGTCTTCTACAGTTTAGGAAAGATGGGATTTAAAATAGTTTTCAGTAAAGAATTCTAACACAAACAAGAGCATTTATTGTGGCGGGAGTTTTTAACGTATTTGGTTGCCTACCTCTACCCACCTGTAGTGATGTGCAAAATAAGAAGAAATGGTTTTTGGCAATATTTGGTACTCCACACTGCATAAGCTTATTCAGAGTGATTACTTATTAGTGCCGTAGATATAAGGAACCCGTA